GAGTTTAATATAGTTTGAAACCTAGTAATTTCCATCGAAGTTTACAACTTCCTCTTGTCACGAGATAAACGGAACGAGTTTCCTCAGGTGACTACAAACCCGGATGGATATGAAATTCCCTATTTGCCACAATTTTCTATGTGGCTAAACTTTCTGATCTGCTTACCAACAGAGCAGAAAATTCTTCGAGCTTACTTACTAATGAAGAACAACCATTGGCTATTACCTTACCAAGTAATAAACGTAAGGTGCCTACATCGGAAATGGTTACTGGACCAAATACTAAACGACATAGAATACAACATGAGTATTGAACTCGTACATATAGGCACATACTTACTCGATAAGCCTTGACCGAAATCGGTTTACTTTGGTTTTCGCTTTACGAACTAGATCGTACCAAATTTTATAATCTCTGAACTACTACTTACAGGTTTTGGTCTTCCCGTCAACCTCCAAAATCCAATAAGTCTTTTTCTTTTTTTAACTTTTCTTCAGATGAAACTTTATTTATATTAGCAAATGTATTAACTTTACTTACGTTTTTATGTCTATCTACAAATTAGACATGTGGTCATGAACACTTAGTACTTCTAATGAAAATTATTCAATAAAGAACAGCTAGAGGTACGTCCTGTGTGATCGAGGATATTAAGGCTCTTACCAAGAGGCAGTCCCGATCATTCTTACACAAGTTACCACTGCTCAATCCTAAATGACTTAAATTGTATCTTAGTTTATATAACATAGTTTAAAACATAGAAATATCCATCAAAGTTTGCATACGTGAATAGCTTAAGCTAGTCGTCGGCAGCCTAAAATACATGTGTTTGGGCCCAGTGCAAGTACTAATTACCTTAAGGAGTTTTTGCACACATTTGAATGGTTCCAGGCTATTACTGAGCGGTTCGAGCAATATATACAAACAAAGTCGGGGGAAACGTGTTTCAAGTATTCGTCGCAGTTCTTGACCACTTTGCAGAAATATCGCCCAGAAACTTGGAAGGATTTGGACCCAGAGGATGTTAAGGAGGACTTCATAAAGAAATATCCAAAGTCGCATCCGTCGGTTCGTTAATGATAAAAAAAAAATGGACGCCAGAAGCGCTTAGCACCGGCACATCTTTAGGCTGGTGGGCATGTAGAAGGTTCGGGACTTCTAATGAAATTTCGAGACTCTTCGGTACATACCCTATATCTCGGCGGGTCCCGAATGATGAGTCATGATTCCGGAAATTCATTTTGTATTTTTACTTCAGGGCCCAAGCCAGGGTTAGTCGTATATAACCAGGCCCTGAAATTTTTTGAGTGTCATTCTGCATGGGTCATACTTAAATTGTCTATGTATATTCAAGAACAGAGCAAAGTGTCTACGGATATATGTACATAGACGATGACGCCATGAGAAAGTTCAAGAACATCGTAGCAGAGGGTTTTCTAGGCGCGTGCCTTTCCCTCTCACTACGAGTGTTATAGTTATAGTCAATAGCCTAGGATGTTAGTAGTACAAATTCTACGAGTGTTATAGTTATAGTTACTAGCCTAGGATTTTAGTAGTACAAGTTCGTTCGAGAATAGATAGAAATAGGTTCCGGCGGACTATAAAAGCAGTCCACGTCCAGCGTTAGAGTCCAGGCTTTCACTAAGAATATAAGGAACACAAGGACGAAGAAGACTAAGACTGCTTGTATCGTGCGCCAAAACTGTAATAATCATTTTTGGGCCGATTTTGGATTTGGAGAATAAGGACCGAACTTTTGGGAAATTCGAGGGACCATAAAAAAAAAGGCATAAGGTACATATGTACAAAATATGAACATCATAGCCTTCTCGATAGACAGCAGGGATACGAGCCTTTTTTATTTATAATAGATATGTATGTAAATTAGCCTTCTCGATAGACAGCAGGGATACGAGCCTTTTTTATTTATAATAGATATGTATGTAAATACCAAATATTGTTCTATCTTCAGGAGTCTATGTCACTCTTTGTACATAAATATGTTTGTCTAATTTTCAGAAGGTTATGGTATGATATATTGTTAACAACTGTGTAAAACAGATATGTACGTACATACGACGTACTTTTGAAGACAAAATGCCGGTAAATTCTGGAGAACCAATCAATTTAACTAAAAAGTAAATGTTGTGTTTATTTATTGTTTCTACTTTTGTTACTATTTACGAAAGGCAGAGAGGCTCCGGGCTCCGAGTATCTATTTTTTTATTAAATAAATAAATAAATAATAGTATTCAATATTCACCCCGTATTCTTAGAGAGATACGCACGTAAATATGCTGTAACCAAGGCCTCTGCCATTGGGACAGCGAGTCTTCAGACTCACCCGTGTGATATAAGATATAAAGCTGGCTCACTAGTTGTTAGATAATATACCACCAAAAACAACGCGTGATATAGCTTTATAAGCAGTAGAGTGCTATTCCTAGGCGGCTTCATACCATGTCTCTGTTTAGGTCGGTTCAACACACAATTCACCAAGAGTAAAATTAAGAGCGTGATTACCGCAGTACAAACGACCTATGACAATTAGATCCAGTTTACCAGGCGCGTACGAGAGCCAAACCAACTATATTGATGTAGATAAGAATCCCAAGATGTCCTTGGCTCCGAAGACACCCAAGGGTGTGAAAAATTCAGTTTCAAGACAATCATCCAGTTCGAGACCATCGACTCCTCTCAGCAGAAGAGGTGTGTACATTCGTATAAAATTTGAAGTGTAGCTCTAAGTTATTATGCAATTCAACAGATGGCATGATTGTCATCTCCTGGCTTTAA